AGATTCTATTAGACTGATTGGTTTGCATCTCTGTACGGCTGAATCTATGCCGATACGTCTTTGTACCAACCATGCGCAAAATGCAATTGCCTCTTTTGATATATTCGAAGTGCATGGAAAGATTGTGCATGAATCGATGGTGACAAATCAAATCTCACATATTACGTTCTAAATAATTTTCTAAATAAAATTCTGAGCTTTTCTGTCACAATATTTATGACTATAATATATAATCATCTTCTTTCAAAGATTTGTGCATCTATTAAAAACAAAATACAATATATGTACAATATGCGTAGCCAAAATCTTAATTTCAAAAAGTTTTCCATTTAATAGAATAGTTTCCTATTTAATCCTATTCCAGTAATTTAAGAAATTTTCATTAAATCCATTTAACAGAATATTTTTCTCAATTTTTGAGACATATTGTAACGAAATTGTGTAAGGCTTGAACAGTTGCATGAATGAGAATCTTGTGATGGAGAACGATCGATTAGCTTGCTCTGAATTCGTGGTATTCTCCTCGGGTGAATCGTATCAGCACATGACTCAGCTAAGCACCTTGATCGCAATGACAGAAACGCGCATGCAACATTTCTCCGATTGACCTAGTTCGAAAGTCAATCGCGTTAATTCAGGAAAGATTCGTCGGTATCGAGGGAGAGAAGTATCGTGAGAGGAATACAATATAATCCATATAACTGTACAGTTCAAATGATGCGCAAATAAATATTGCGATTGTTAATAATTAAAATAAATTCCATGTGTTTATTAACTTATTTGCAGCTCTTATCAGTAATCAGCTTTTAACGTGTATTTTATATATATATTTGTCTGTTTAGCTCTTCCTCCTTATCACATAAATTTCAGTCTTATGTCCCTGGCATTTAATCTCCTTTTCCCCTAGGTTTCATTAAACCGACTCTCCAAATATGGCTAATCTGTGGACTTTTTTGTACCCTCGAAGGAGTTAACAGCAGTCGGAACCGCGACAACTTAGGTAACGTTAAAAACGTACTACACTCCGGATAGGATTAGCGCGCCCTAATTTATTGACTTCCCGCCTTACTGTCGCGGGGACAAGGGGACTCAAACCCCCGTGGCTCCGAGTTAACGGCATTTTACAAGAGGGGTGACCCTTCACAGAGGAATTGCCACGAGTCGAAAGATGCATATTGCATGCTTGTAATCAAGTCTGACAAAATATCGCGCATGCAGTGTGACCGTTCTAGTAGTGTGAATTGTATGACGTATTATATATTATACATATATACGAGGGTTGGAAACGAAAATCATCGTGGCGGAATATACATTTCGAAATTCCGCAGTTACATTAAGAACTACTTTCTTTCCATGTTTTTTTTCCGAGATGAAGTGAATATTTTGTAATCTACAACAAATATCGTTACATTGCGACAGTTTATTGAAAATAATTGATTTATGATGCACCAAAAAAACTCGGGGAAGCTCAATGTCTAGAAGTCTGATTCTTTAAGCCCGTAATACTTGAGATATTCGATGTCATAAAGAGGATATACAAATGATCACTCAGCAATTATTTCAATTGACAAGGGAATATTGCGGATAAATATAAACAAGAAAAATAATTTATTGACTGTTTTAAACTTTGTTGCCTGTATAGTTTAGTTTATAGGCTCATTGATGCTGAAGATATTAATCAAAATAAAATTCACATTATTTTCATCCGTTTATAATTAATCCTTATTTCTTTCCGATATGTTAAAAAATGATATTCCTTTTACTTTATATAATAATATATTAGATGCATAAAATGTATACATTTTAAAGAAAATTTATTTTATGCATTTTTATATACTAATCTGATTTTCAACTGGTTGGTTTGATTTATAGAATAATCTTTTCTGTATTTTATATATCAAATATATTTAAAAATTATTTTTTAATAATAACTGCAGTTGTTACAGATAACGTTTTTCTGTTGTGATTTCCAATTAAATATTAAAAAATTAGAGATTTTTTAATGCATGAAAAATTAATCTGATATACTATATATATGTAACATAAAATTGCGTGAAAAAATGTTTTCACACAATCTTTTGAACTTTAAAATTCAATTTATTGTTATAAATTGTATGGAAATAAACCCTCGTATATACAGTATATATTATAAATAGAATTATTCGTTTACCGTTCACAACCAATATTTCATTAGTCAACAAATGTGATTGCATTGTAAAATAATACATATGATGTCTGATTAAGATAAAAAGAAAGAAATGTCGTATTCATTATCGTTTGATTGGACAGTTCTTATTTATATCAAGTATTAAACTATGTGACGTGACTTACGTACAAGGGGCATAGAAGTTTGCATTCCGTCCAATTCTCTTCAACGAGGCAATAACGGACGTCTTGAAAATCTCCCGTCCTCCTGCACGTCCTCCTACCGCAGATCTCCCTAATTAAGAACACCAGTCGTGAGTGTTGGAGAAGGGAATCCAACAATGATCCTCATGTTCAAAGCGTAAGTGTCTCTTTCTCACGTTCCTAAAATCAGATTTTCCATTTTATTAGCATCTATGTAGTACATGAAAGAAATATTAAAATACATGTATAATTATTCAGAAAATAGAAATATAATGGAATATATTATATATCTCATAATTATTTATAAATGTAAAGCCTTTTATATATAATATCTTAACAATGCCTTAAACGTATAAATCTCAATAGAAAAATGCGAATAAAAGAGAATAACTTGTGTTGTATTAAATAAAATTAATTATCAAACTTATTGTGTAAAATGTTTTTTACACAACTTAGTACCTCATATCAGCATCTTACAATTTTTTGTAGATATCTTGTTTGAGGTGATAGAGAATATTATGTGTAATGACTCATTTGTTAAAATTTTATTGTTATTTATTTCTCTAATTGAAAAATGTAAATTTTATAATAATACTTATTAAATACATGCAATTATAAAAAGAAATTTCCATGTGCAATCATAAAAGGAAATTTTCATATGCAATCATAAAAAGAAATTTCCATACGCAACCATAAAAAAAAAATTCCACACATTATCTTCAAAGGATTAAATGTTATTTCAAAAAACATAAAAGTATATTATATATATAAAATTAAATTGCTTTTAATATTTTTTTGCATTCTATAAATCTCTAAGTTTAACAAAGTTATTGACCAATAAATGTTTCAACAAAATATTAAAGTAAATAATACGATTTTATAAAATTATTCTCTCGTCCATTTATTGTGAAATGTAGCATTAATTACTAGTGTTGCCACCTAGCATTAATGCAATACAACTAGAATGTATAACAAAGTCGAATAACTGATCGATAATACAATTCTAGATGAACAATTATTATAAATAACGTCGTTATTAGTAAACATACATAATTAATTAAATTACATTAAACATTTACAGAAGTCATGAAATGTAAAACATAATTTTTTTTAAATTTAATTATATATATTTCTGAAAGTGTTACAATTTGATTAAAAATTTTGAGAAACATTTTCATTAAGATACAGATGTATACAAATATGATGTTATGTTATATACCTTACCCACATGCAATATAGTACATTGTACAATAATTGCATTTTCATTGCATATCAGCATAAAAATAGTAAGTGTTCACACTCACACACAAATAAGATATTTATATAAAGAAATCTCGATCAATTTCAGATGCAACGTCGTCCGTCGGTGAAATATTGATATATTAGCGATGTTGGCGATGATAGTATGCGATGATACCATGACAATAGTCAATAAGAATAACATATTTAGTATTTTCTCTTTCTCTCTCTCTCTCTCTCTCTATCTTCTTCTTCTAGGTAGCCGGTGAATTTTCGGTCTACAATGACAGATCATAGTACGTGCGTTGTAAAAACTTCACAAGACTAATACGTACTTACACAACACGTTTTCTAAGGAATTATCCTAATGATGTCCTCAGATGTTCTCGGAAAACTGCTTTGTGTGGGTATTCCTGATTTCGTAAAGCGCATAATATGTATTATTTTATCCTTGGTCATTGAATGTTGAACAAAAATAAAATGATAATATCATGCATATTCTGTGCTTTGTGAAATGTAGTCTTCACAAGAGACGCTCGACGCTCGCAATTATGCGCGCACAAGATTCACTTCTCTCTCTCTCTCTCTCTCGATAGTAGCAATCGCGAAAAATACAAAGAGATGCGATATATTTCGATAAATATTGAAAATGTTCAATTATGTTGCAACAATGGACGCAATTAATATTAAAACAACGAAAAAGATATACCTGTAGATGTAGTCCCGCAAGCAATCTCATTTTCACGTTTTGCAACGAAGAAACACCTTGGCGCAATATGGCGGAGGAGAAATTTTCCACCGATTTTTCAGGCCAGAATTACAAAACCGTGATATCAGCGTAGAATAACGAGTACACGTGATATTCAATGCGTTACAATGAACTGATGCTCTACGAGAGAAATTCGAGATATTTTTTCGTTTCTAGGATTCACTTTTAGTAAATAGTAATCATGAAAAGTAACGGAACAATTCAAATCGCGTTTCGCCGCGTTTCGCGAGGATCACGGTACACGCGACATCTATCGAGAACATTGCAAAGTACATAATGAGATTGCCGAAACGACGGTCGATATTATATAAATCAATCTCAAATATAAAACAATAAAAAAATTAGCTGCTTTCAGCAGAGAAAACAGTTTTGCAAAATTCTTTAATATGATTCATCTTATCATTAATTTCCTTAGGATATAAATGTATATATTAGAATTTTACAGAAATTGCAAAGCTGCTAAAAATAAGTCAATTTGTATCGATCGCCGGTTAATAATTTAACTATAATCTTAATATTAATTTAATCATGTTGCTTAAATTTTTCCGAAATTTTTCATGTTAAACAAGATAAAAATATATTTGGGCGTTAAAAAAAAAGAAAACAAAGATACTGACAATGAGTGTAAAAAGTGCAAGCAACACGACCGACTTTACTTACATCACGAGACTCCGTATGACTTTTCACCTATATATGTAGATATGTATATACTTTAACCATAAAGTCAGCTGATTGATTCTCAGATGCAAGTGGAAGAAAAAAATATGGTCAGAGACGAGTATCCAGCACCGGAGGAAATGAAAAAGGAAGGAGATATGGAGGAGACAGTACAAACGGAGGAAACTAATCATTATGACGTCGACGAGGAAATGGACAACGCCGAGAACGAGGAACTTTCCGATGACATTTGCGAGTATCTCGAGAATGATGCGTATCCCGAAGAAGGTGTATATATTGATACAAGTAGGCATATTGTCAACTTTTTCAAGTAAATGTTGAAGATTCAAAAATTAACAATAACGTTCTGTACATCTACAGAGCACCTTATTTTTGTTATACATTGTTACCTAAATGTAAACGCATAGATATATGTGATGCATAAATAATTTGAGAAATAAAAAAAGTACTTAAAGCTTTTAAATCAAGTTTTCTGTCAATAATTGATGCCATTATAGAATACTCTTGAAATCAAGTGAACGAAGAGGTGTATATCATTAATATGTCATATGCAGGTATAAAGGCATTAGAGGCCGAGTTGGATCATTTGCAAACTGCCTTGGATCATTTGGAAAGGAAAAACGATGATATACATGCACAATTAACAGAACTGTTGCAATCTAATCGTGAAGCTAGGAAACAGTTCCAGGAATCACTACAAGTCGAAAAACAACAATCGAAGTAATAATTACTCTGTACTTAGAAAATCATATTTGCTAATTTAATATGTTGTCTAAAAATACCCTCAAGTATTATTTTTTAATCTTGTAAACGCGCATTGTTTCATGTATCTGTAAAAATGAAGAACATTTTATAATCTATCCTGATCAATCAAATTATATTTGTCAGTAATTAGGTAAAGAAACTTTAACATTCCTACAAAAATAAAATCGAGTTAATTTAGTATTGTATAATTATATGTATATGTATACACATATATTTGAAAGTATTGATGCATTTTTATTTATTACATATATCGATACTAATTAAATTGCAATTGTAATTAAAAAAAATTCTTCTGTTATGCAAAATTTGCACGCAATGCAAATTTTTTATTAAATTTTAATATTTTATTTGAAAAATAATGAAACATACACAATCTCTTTTTGTTATAAATATGTATTAATTTTGACAGTTATATATTAAAATTAAATTAAAAAATTCTTAAAAATAATAAAACGCGCGTTTAGATAAAATATTTCTAAAGAAAAAATACATAATGTAATCATTTTTGTATATTCGTATAAAACTAGTTCTGTGACAATTCGTATAATGTGCAGAAACAGAGGGAAATATTGAAATAAACAACAAATGCACATGAACAGTTATGTAAATTTTATTTGCATATAAACAAACAGATTTAATATAACTGTCGATAGTAGTAAAAGTATTTTTAATATAATGCTAATTAGTTATCATATATTTAATAGTAAAGAACAAGTACTTTTTAAAAATGTTAGAGGTAAAAATCAGTGAACTAATATAAACGGTGTGTTTTATAAATCCACATGCAGAAAAATTCTTATAATATTAATTACTTAAGTAGTTTTAGTAGGTGAATATCTCGACAATCTAACTGTCTCTTGTGGCCCCTAGTTATTTCTAAATAATCTTCTTTACAATATATACACATATTAAGTGCAATTAATAGTGATTTATCACAAAGCGCAACACCAAGTAATTCATAATCTTCAATTTCTCCATTTGCATTTTCCATTAATTTTTTGAAGCATTACAATCTGTGATTTCTTAAATAGTGCTGTAGCAGAATTATGTAACATATACATTTGTTATAAATGAATACGCTCTCCACAGTTAATATTTTTCATCAAATATAAACTTTAGTTTTAACAGACAAATCTATCTTGTTAAATAGAAAAATATATAAATAATCTCAGCATACAAATCATTCTATTATATTAAATAGATATTTATCATATGTTGAGAAAAGACTCATAATTAAAGATGTATTAGAAAGAAATCTACAACTTTTAAAAAGTTCTTAAAAACTTTAATAGTAAAGTCTAATCTACAATTGCGTAAACGTAGTTGTAAGTGATCGTAGTCGTAAAACCCATTCTATAATCGCGTAAACGTAATTGTAAGTGGTTATAGTTGTAAGAATTGACTAATCACAGTCGAACATTTTCTTCGTATTTGCCTGTGATTGGTTAATACAACTACAACCATTTACAATTACGCTTACGCAATTGTAGAATGGGTTTGAGAATCCTCTCTCTCTCTCCGATCACAGTTGGATGTTCTCCTCGTATTCAATTGGTCAATTCTTACAATTACAACTACGTAATTGTAGATCGGGCTTAAGATGTAATACTTTTATTAAAAGAAAATTGTTAACTTTTGATTGTATATATAGAATTACATAAGATTTTATACAGATCTTAAAATAATATGTATGAACTTTACTTTTTTTGTGATAAAAGTTTCCTATTTCTAAATCAAAATAAAACATGATAAAGATATTCTCACATGTAATGTTGACTTTCTGCATGTTTTACGCATACATATATAATTCGAGCCGTCTGTTGCAAATGCATTGAATAAATGGTAGTAAAATTATTATTACATACACGATTAATACAATCAATCAATTTATCATTATAGCGCTTAAGGGTCAAGTAAATTGATACATTCTTATCGGACAGGTTAACAGTACAGAAAAACATTACAAGATTATTAACTTATTAATAAAGATTCAAGACTAAGATTTCAGTGTTTAAATCTGAATACAAAATATATTATTTAATATTTAAATAAATGTTTAAATAATCTTATTTTTTATATTAGCTGCCAGCAGATATGTTATATATATATTTATAATATATTATATATTATAGGTTATATATACACATATATATATGTTATATATATATTTATAATATATAATATATTATAAGTTATATATACACATATATATATATATAATATACGAATTAACAATTGTAAAGTTCATAAGTGCATAAATATGCTGATTATTTGAACATTTTACATAAATAAAGATTTTAATCATCAAAATATTCATATTATTTGGAGATTTAAAATTATAATCAATAGAATATTGGTTTTCTATTGGAAAATTTTTTTCTATTATATAAAAAACACTGAAATCTTAACTTACTTACATTATTACTTATATTTTTACAAACTAAGATAATTCTATGTATACGCAAATTTATCAATGTAACGAACTCATTCCTTACATAGAATATGAAAAGATATAACATTATTCTATATTTGTTTTTATGAAGCTTTAAATCTATTTACATACAAAATAAGAGAAAAAAAGGTTTTCTATCAGAATATTATATACAAAGTAAGAACAAAAGATTTTAAAATTTCACATTTAAATTGCGAAAATTTATAGATAATCAATATTTAATAATTTTTATAACAATATCAAGATTCTTTCATTATTGGTTTCATTATGTATTTTATTTCATAACTTAAGTAACTTAAGTTATATTGTCACAAAAATAATATTCTTACTTTAAGTTTGATGGTAAATTACAAAGGAGTTGTAACAGTGCACTTTATATCTTATTCTGCAAATTATCATTCATTTTTAAGTAATCAAAAATCAAACACAGTAGATGATTTCTATCAAAAAACTAAAAGAAAGATAGGTTTAAATAAGTTATATTAAATATAATAAAAAAATATAGATAAAAGAAAGAATATTGTATACAAAAGGAAATTGTGTATATGTACATGAATGTTTTGTAATATGTTCTATTGAATTTACTGTATTTTTAAAAGTTTAATGATTAAGTTTTTTTCTTTTATGATAAATCTAATGCTATTTGTGCAAAGTTTTGCATGGATACTCTAAACAAATATTATGTAAATTATGAGATAAATAAATATCCTTATTTCAAAAATTAGATGAACATAAAGCGCATTGATAACAACAGCAAATTTATAAGAGTGTACTTATATTCTGTAACTTTTTTTCATTTAATCTTTAATCTTTCTATTGTATGCATCACACAGAAAGTATTTATCTGTAGTATATTCTTTAAAAACATTTTTGTACATAGTTGTTTCAGTTTTTCATAAATTTTTGTAATGTATTTGTAATGCGAACATATAATCATAATACACACTGTGAATTTAAAGCTTACTTATATGCATAAATATTGCAAAATTTTAATTTTAATTGAATCAAAACCTAAATCGAATAATTCTTACAATTTTACTTATTACAAAATTTTACTCATTTCAGTGATATATTTACTGTTTTGATTTTATTATAAACAAATAATCGATGAAGATATTTGTATTACAGTTGCATTACTTTCTCATGTAATTATAAATATTTCTAATTTATGTTAATAGAAACATAAAAGAAATAACTGTCATAATTTATATAAATGTTATTAAATATAGAAGATATTAATTTCAATTTATGTCCTTAAATTTTGTCCAGTGCAAATTCAATTTCTTATACTGAGCACGTTAGAAACATAATGACATCTGTTATATGTTGAATCGATAAAATCATACTGATTACAAAATGTATATTGAGATTTTTTTTGTTTTTAGCTGTAATAATTCTATGTTCTAATAAGATATCAATCGTGTTTATATCCTTACAAAAGAAAATCCATTAAAAGAATTTAATGCAACAGTAACTAATCTGTAATTTATCTGTACACTTTTGAATGATTTTTTTAAATGTTAATTTCAAAAAATGCTAATTTATTTTTAATATTTAGGATAATAATTTTAATTTGATCATAATGTTGATAATCATAATAAACATAGTAAATGTAATAAATATTAAATTTATATAGTTGAAGTATAAAGAAAAAAACGGTCTAAATCAAGCGGTAATGAGATGTTTTATTTTTATGTTGCATTAACATTGTAAATTAGAAATTTATTTTATAAAAAATCTTATTACTGCTCGATTTACCGTTTTTTTTCTTTATACTTTACATTGCAGAAAACGAGCGAATCTAATTATATGGTTGAATTTGAAAAAAAAAATCGAAAAAATAGGAAAAGAAACAAATTACAAAATATGTCAAATATGAGAAGAAAACTTTTCTACTTCTTAATTAAGCATGTTTACGATTTTAAATTCGCATTATTGGTTACCAGACGTATCAAGAAGTGCATGATTCTTAGAATCTTCGAAATCCATAGAATTAGTATAAAGACCAGTCATCTGTAAATCTAATAGATTCGTATCATTTCCCATAAACATGTCGTCGAATTCTAATGGAGGATTATACGTCATAAGTTCGCCACCAGCAGATGCATTGACAGCATCTGTAACAGTAAATTATTGAAATTAATATCTGTACATTGTCTCATAACTTTTATAGAATTAAATAAACTTCTTTCTAAAGTTTTATAATAACATATGATGTAATAAATAAATATAAAAAGCATTATATATTTTTTTTAAATAAATATTAGATTAAATTAAATATTTAATATTTAAAAATACACGTGTGTATGTAGGTATATGTTAATTGTTATATTTAATTATATAATTTCATTCTTTAGGACTTTTTTATTACACTTGCAACCTTTTCATAAATTTTTCTAAACGAAAAAATATAAATTTTATTAGAATAAAGTTTAAATTCTAACAACAAAAATTATAAACTTACCATCATCTTCTCTGCTACAATGTGGATTCAATTCTGAATTAATTGATAATCCAAACGTCATCGCATCTTCAGTATTAAACAACTGTTAAAAAAGAAAAAATATCAATATTAGCATTTTTAGTAAATGTGCTTTTTTTTAATAAAGAATCTTTAATTGTTATTCTTGCAATTTTTTCTTTTTTTCTGTTTCTGATATGTAAAAAATTTAATTTTAATATAGCTTTATATTTACTTCAAGTAAAGTATTAGCATCCAAGTTGCAATTATCACTTAGGAACACTTCACGAAAATTGTCCAAGTTATTCTGCGCTGTTTCTACATGATTGTTTAGTTCTTCCCTATATATACATAAAATAAAAATAAATTAAAATATAATATTTACTTTTAAAAAATATTAGATATGAAGCATAAGGTAGAGTAAAACACTTTCTAAAAAGGATGGAAAATGTTGATTCTAACCTGTAATTGGTCTCAGATATTCCAGAGGAATTGACACAGCTCACCAATAAATCTTTCGATGAACTTGCGCCTGCTCTGTCATAACTATTATCTTCTGTTTGTGATTGTACTATACTTTTTTTATTGTATTGCTCAATGTTATTTGTTACTAAAATACTTCTTTCGTTATCAGTTTGATTAATCATCTTATTCATTTTATTAGGATTGCTGTTACTGTTTTCTTCATTCTCAAGATTATTTTGAATGTTACTATTATGGAGCATTTCCGAGGTAATTAACATTTCCGAGGTAATTATATTTTCTAATTTCACTATTGATGAATTGTTGTCCAAAACTTCCATAGTATCCTCCAAATCAGCTGAATCTGCATCATTGTCAGCAACTTGAGATTTAATATTTGCTGCCATCGCTGCGAGTTTAGAACTACGCATAGACGCTGTAGGTACTGGTTTAGAACCAATGGAAGCATTTTTCAGTAAACTCACAGGCTCGTCTTCATCGGAGATTTCAAGCATATGCAATTCTTCTCTATAAATAAGATCAATTTCCATTTTTATTTTAGACGTTCAAGCTTAAATTCTCTTATCTATAATATATAAATTATTAAATACTTAAATATATTACCATATTCCAATAGAATTGTAAAATATAGAAAAAACTGTGTATATGTTACAAAACAGAACATAAGAAATAAAAATTCATGCAATCTATTATATTATTCAAAAAAATTTTGTGATAAATATACCATAACTATCAAATAAAGATAATGTTTATGGATTAATATATTAAAATCAAAGATTAAAATAAAAAAAACAATTTTTTTCTAATAGCAAAAGAATATCTCATCTCTTCTTTTACCATTCTCTTTCAATACATAAAATAAACAGTATATTATTTTTATATGAGATATGTATAAAGATTATGATCTCATCAATGCATATTCAGGATAAATATTTATAAGGAAATATTAATAACGTAAAGTGACAGTATTAATCGCAGTAAAAAAAGAATTGGTAAAACTTTCCCTTTACACAACTAGCCCCAAATGGCTTCCGAGTTACCTTGACCTTGATTAAGAATGTTAAGATTATTGACCTTTCCGTCGCTTGCTATTCGTTAAAAAGTTATTAATAAAAACGTTTTTACGAATAAGACACTTTTTTTAACACAACATACATATTCCAACATAAAGAATGTATTACATTTTATTCATTACTTGATGATATATTAAATGGATATAAGGAAGCCATTAATCTAAAAAATTATGGTATTCTCTCGTTGAAATTCGACTTCCACTATCACATCACAACCACCAAGCATGCCACTTTCTTGTCTTATTCATTGCGCTAATAACTAAAAAATAACAAAAAATATAAGAATCAAAATCGCTTCGCATGGAAGTCGTGCGTCCCCAAAGCAGAGGGAAGGTAGGATGAGAGTTACTTTGCATAGAAGTCCTGCGCTCATAAAGCAGGGGAGGTAGGGTGAGAGTCGCTTCGCATGTGGAAGACATGCGCCCTTAAAACAGGAGGAGGAGAGTAAGAGTCATCAGTTTTCAAACTTTTTTGTTAATAATTTTTTAATGAATAGCGAGGGACAAAAAAGGTCAATAACCTTGACTTTCTTAAAGTTAAGGTTAATTATTAATGACTCGGAAGTCATTTGAAACTGGCTGTATAAAGGAAAAGTTTTACCAAAGAATCATACAGGCATGTGTCTAATCCAATTCAAAATGATTTATATGTGTAAGCAAATCTAATTAATATTTCATTGAAGTTATATAATATAAATTGAAAAATACAAATAATAATACAAGCATATTTATATTAGATATTAAGTAACTCTGATGTTCTATTAATGAAAAAGATATCCAGAGGCCTATTCTTTTTAGCTGAGCTTCTTGCACAGTTTATCTTTTCTCATTTTCTTTCCAACATGGAATCAAGTAAGAACTTTAGCTAAAAAGAACAGACCTAGTATTGTAAAATTAATACTGAAGTGATACTTAAAAAATAAAAAATAATATTGTATAATGGTATATTTAAATATAAGAAAATATTTAACATGCAGCATAGTAAAAATATATGAATATCAAACTACTATGTATGTATCTCGGTATTTTCTGTAGCGAAAATATGTATAATTTTAAAAAGTTATACATGTTCCGTCTCTCTTTCGCCATTGAAAATATCGATAAAATTATAAAAATGTATTTCCCCGCCTTCTCCCTATTCCTTATTATATACAAAAAAATTTTGAACTTATATTTCTACAATACAATCACAAAAATCTGACTCATGCAAGAAATAGTATACATCAATAATGACTCTAATATAATAAAATAAGTACAAGCTATTCTCAGAACACCAATAAACAAAAATTAAGTTAACCTTGTTGATTTTTTTCCGTTTTCCAATGTTGGAATGAAAATTCTGACAGGCACTTTGTTTTTCCTCCTAATAATATTTAAATTTGATCAATATAATGCAAAAGTTTTTCTAAATATTATTAAATTCTACTAAATGCAACTGATTAGTAAATAGAATTATTAGCTGAAACAAATTTTAATGACTTGAATTTTTTGAATATTTGTGCATAGATTATCACACACATAATAACTTTTATTCAATTAGTTTTATGATCTATATCAAATTTCTGATATTTTATACTACTAATTACACACACGCACGCACACGCACACACTTAGTAAGATCATTTTTAGTGTGAAACTTTTCCTTCATAGAAAATGTTGAGACAACATTTTCTTAATCAAAATTTTAATATTTAATACTTACAATTAGTAAATAAATTTAAAGTGAGATTTTTTGTAGCAATAAGTTTTACTTTCATTTTCTATTTATAAGAATATCGGAACATTTTATGTATTGTTATATTTTTTCTAAAAAGGATCAATTTAAAATTTTATAAAGAATAATTTTATGTGTCTATACTTTCTGCATATACTGTATAATATTATGTATATAATGTTCTATTATGTTAATGTTTGTTTCATATATAATGAATTATTCTAGAAATTATTTTACACGTATAAAAGTACGCTCATTAAAAATATAATATAAGTTAAACTTACTTCTTTTTGCCTTTGCAAGCACGTTTTCTCTTTGTCTCAACCTTAGGATTCTGAACGGTATCTTCAAATGTATTTACAATCCCCATATTTTCCTCATCTGTCAGTATTTCAGTATGTTCTTGTGGACTTTGAACGGTTGGATTTTCATTTTTCAATATGCTAAAATAAATGATTATAATTAAGATGGTATTTTTTCTTTATCCATATATTGAGTCTTCTACTCCTTTAACAGGGTTGTTAGCGAAACAGGAAAACAATTCCTTAAGTTCCAGTTTTCCCTATTTCTTAATTCTCTGACTTTTCCTGGTTTTTCCTGATCGCTAACAACTTTATTATAAAACACTAATACCAAATAACCAAATTTGAATTATATTTAAGATAAGCAATATATGTTAAATTCATTCACGTACTCAGCAACAATGTAGTCTGAATCCACATCAGGTTCCGATGCATCAAGTTCATGAATTACTGGTCCTGTAGGAGACTCTTGCGACTACAAAATAATTATTATTATGTTAATTAATTAAAAAATAAACATAAGTTAAATACAATAATTTTAAATTACAATATTACCTTAGACAATTTACTTCGTTTATGTAAACGATTTGAATCATTTATCATTAATGGATATCGTCTTTTAACAGGTAGTCCACTCCTAGATGGTTGTACAAGAGTAACAAGAAATTGAATTAATTTATTAATAATTTGTTGCTGCTTCAAATGTTTTTGTCTCAATATCATTAATTCTGTCCACAATGTTGAATTTTCCATTTTTATTTCCTTTAAACTAGTAGTCATACTGTCTTGACGACTCTTCATTTCTTTTATTTCAGTTAACATCATTTCCAGTATTTCGGGTTTAAAAGAAGATAAATCTTGACTTTTGTTAGATGTAACCTAATAAGAGAAGACAGATTTAATTCCGTTATAAAAATGTTAACGTAACATTTAATCTTTTACAATTTAGATTTGCATTTAAACTTGCATCTTTTTTGTGAATTTAATTAGAAAGACATTTTTTATACACTTCCTAGTTTGCTTTTTTTAAAGGATTTAAAAGAAAAGAAAAATTCAGGGTGACTCTGAATGTTTCAGCCAAACTTCAAGATTTTTAAACTTCGAAGATAAAATCTTGAAGTCTGGCTGAAACGTTCGGGATTACTCTGTATGTCATACTATGTCATTACATCACACTGGAACATCGTAATAGCAAACTTCGAATTAGCGCATAAAATCCCTTCAATACGCATTAGACACATGTGATTAGCGTGAGTGGGGAGATAACAGTTCTCAGGACCCTGAATTTCATGATTTAAAAGTTAGGACAATCTCGTTATTAAGTTAGGAGGTCTAAAGGGCGTGCTATTACGAAGCTCCAACTTTAAATTCTATATATAATTTTTGTAGAAAAATTGAATATATCGCGCGCGCGCGCACAATATAGTAATAAATTCAAGATATGTTTCTGTATATATATATATAGAGTTTTTTTAATTTGATACTATATTGTATCGTATAAATATATTTTATTAAATATAGAAAATCCTTTATACTGCATATATATTGCTGAAACTTTTCTGAATTAATTTTTAATCTCTTAAAAAAATAAAGAATAAAGAATCGAATTATTATAAAACACACACACACACACACACACATTATCTTTACTTAATTCAATATACTTACTTTTCTTTTAATATTCTCTACTAAATGAGGTAAACCTTTGCAAAAGTACTGATGCGCAAACTCCATTTCATCTTTATCACATTTTAGGCCGCCCAATTCTGCAGATACCATCTTGTGAAATCCATCTAACACGTAAGTAAAGAACATTAATAAATATTTTTCATTGTTATTGTTATTTTGTTGTATTATCTATGTTTTAAAAAAAAGTTAAAAATTGCAAAAACTTACACATATTTAGCTGTCGAATAAAACTAGCCATATTACTATGTTTGTAGTAATATGGTAATAACTCGGATGTAAACTGCGATTGATTTTTAATAAAAAAGCTTTTTCCAATCTGAAAAAGATATTAACCAATGTATTGGAATTCTCATCAAATTATGACAAAGTATACATCGTTCATAAGACTGTTTTTTGTAGCTGAATTAGTGTACACTATTTAAAATGAAATAGATATGTATATGAAGTTTTGCAAAAACGAGATAAAGTTTTAGTATAGTTTAGTACAGCGACAAAAAGAAAAATTGTATATTACTTTTATAAAAATAGTATATTGTCCATAGTGTTTTCATTCACATGCATAAATATTCATTTTTCAAGAATAAAGGCTAAAACATTTTTTTATAATGTATAAAGCCTATTCTACAATATATAGCTGGAAACACAATAGGCACAGGCAATAGGCATAGGCAACAAGAAATAATAATCCGTCCAATCAGAGCTCTGGGATATAATATCGAACTTATATCTCAGAGCTCTGATTGGAGGGATCATTATTCCCAGTTACCTGTACCTATTGCCTGTGCCTATTACCTGTGCCTATTGTGTTTCCAGCTTATGCTTTTTGTTTCCTATTCCTTGCTTCTTCTCTTTTGTAATCGTTTTTTTTTTTTCTTACAAGTATAATTCTTGCTATGCATTTTTTGTTTCTTCCAAAGTACGTTAACTTTTCTCAGGCGACAGAAAACAAAAAACGGAATAAAAAGCAAAATCACAAAATGTAAAAAAAATAGCAAAAAACAAGAAATAAAACACAAAAAGCATATGTAGAATAGATTTAAGAGAATTAATCAGAGTTTTTCCTTTATGAAATGAAAACCTCCGATTGATTATGCTTTATGTATTGTGTCTTATGTGTGTACAAAAATTTATACTCCAGTCTTAAAGCGCTAAGCCTCATTATAATCTCAAAATATCACTGAATAGACCCCTGTGAAGCTAGATCCCCATTATTAAAAAAAAAATTTTTTTTTTTTCAGAGTTCTGAATAGATTTTCAATAGTTCCAGAGTTTCTGATAGGTTTAAGAAATAGTTCTGGCCATTAAAGATTAGGATGCTATATATATAAATTCATTATAATACCGGTATATACGGACAGTTTCGACTTTACAAAGTCCTCAACAGCCCCAATCGAATAATTAAAATTAATTTAGTATATTGCGAAGAATATCACAAGTTGGCGTTTCGTCCCGGCTTCCACTACTGGACTCATCAGTAAGGTAATGTAGTGGGAGCCTACCTTAGACGCCTGTTTTAGTTCTTAAAACGAGATTCTATATATACAGATATGCGCGTATTTCAGCACTAGCGAGAAACTTTACGAATATCCATAGACCTCTGCTGGCGAGTCGACGTAGTAATATTCTTCGCAATATTTTTAAGTAATAGACGTTGAAAGGTTCCCCCAAATTGCGCGCCGAACACAGCCGGTCTTTAAAACGCAACTATAATAATTTGAAATAAACTCCCCTTAATTATTTCCCCACGCATTGTGAGACCAGCGTACAACAAATTAAATTAAATTAATATCCGCTCAAATAAATTTCCAAATTAAACTTAAAATACCTCCCAGGTCAAGAACACATTGAGCTTATACTAGATGTTAGAAATATATATAAATTCATTATAATACCGGTATATGTGTTCTTGACCTGGGAGGTATATTAAAGTTTAATTTGGAAATTTATTTGAGCGGATATTAATTTAATTTAATTAGGATGCTATACTTAATGCTGTATCATATATACAATTAAAAAAGAGATCATACTCAAATTTATAAATCATTTGACTACAATTTATTTATAGCTACAATTTATTTGTTGCTGTAATTCAATTTGTCAGTATTTTCGAGTTAAGGTAAAAATTTTATATCCTGTTCCGTTTGCATCTTCAAGTTGCTCTACAATTCTACAGTCCGCACAATTCTACAGTTCCTGATAAATTTGAACAATAACTCTACTGATTTAATTAAAAAAATAAATTTTTTAAAAAGGGATGCCAACTTTGTGAGGCACCCCAAGTATCGCAAAAATTAATTTTTATTACGAAATTCTACTGTTTCGAAGAATTCTATAGTTCCTGATAGATTTTAACAATAGTTTTTATACATTTCTGGCATATAAACATTTTTTAAATAAATCTTAATCCACCGGCTCTAAGATACCCTATAAGTTCCAAAACAATATATTTTATTACGAAATTCTTTTGTTTTCGGAAAGTTCTACGGAGAATAGGTTTTAGCGATAATTCCGTCTAAGTATTTTTAAATAATTTTTTAATGTGAGCGCTAGTACTGCAACTCAAAAGTAAAGTAACACGATACCTAAATGCTTAAAGTTTTTGTTTTTAAGTATTATTAAATATTTTGTTAATCTGACTGTTGGCACTACATTTTTTGTGAATATGCGATCTATTGCAAAACTACAGGAAAAATCAATTGAGATTAGCTATTACATGGTACTTTACTCTTGAGTTGGCCCTGCATTTCAGTGATTCTGGGATAACTCTCTGGGCCAATTTCAGCTTCAACCGAAATTCAAACAATGAATTGAAAGAAAAAGAACATTGTAACAGATGGTATGATGGATCGATGTACCTTTTGTTAATAATGTTATTGTTACCCAGGTAGAAAACTAAAAGCATCATTTATTTTATTTGTCATATTTTTCGAATGTGAAAAGAGAATAAAGAAGTTTTCGAATGACGAGAAAGTTTTTATTGTAGTCAATTATTAGAAAATGGTGGATCAAATTAAAATATCACCTTTATATGTCTTTATATTCTGATTCATACGTTTTCAAATATAGTTCAAAGTATATGGTGTTTTTAATTTAAAGTACGATCCACTCAATGCTGCAAATTCTTTGAAACATTCTTTGATTGGTCAATTAAAAAGCATTAGATGAATCAGACCTCAGGTAATGCATGTATCGTTCTTCATTATTCATAGAATACTAAAAAAAATTAACTGGAGAATGACTATATATTAACAACAGATAAGTGGAAAACTAAAATATCTGACTTCGCTTATAGAAGCAACTATCATTAAGAGTTAAAGGCCTTAAACTAACATTTTATTTATCATATTTTTCAAATGTGAAAAGATAATAGTATATATAAAATTAACAGAACTAATACATAGTACATTTTTTGGCTAACATCGTGATTTCATTTATTTAAATTTAAGGATATTTTGTACATATTTATATATAATAATAAAATTATAAAAAATTACAGATTATTCTAAATCACATTTAAAAATAATACAAATTTGATGACAATTTATTATTTCGAATGAGTTATTTTAATATATAATTTTTTTTAATTAATGTTCTAATAAAAATGTATGGAAATGTATTATAAAATGATTGACAAAAATTCAATTTTTTAATATAAGATATAAGTACATTATTTATTCAAGATTATTTATGTAAAGTTATATTGTGATGTATATAAACTAGTTGTCCAGTAAATATACAAAATATTTATTTATTCTATATCTTTGTAACTAATCAGTAAATCGCAATGGAACTTGAACTTTACATAAATTATTTTGAATATCCAAAAAGTACTTATAAAAAATCAATGAGAAATAAGTCTTAACAGTCAAGCTGAATCTTGAGTGTTTTTATATAATTGCGTATGAATTTATATATTACGTATATAGATTTTTAATTACGCCCCAAATTTTTTTCAGACTTGAAACGCAAGTTCTATTAAACTACCGCAGTAATATCACAAGTTAAATTGACTAACAATTTAACAATTTTTTATTTGCTCTCTTTTTTTGTTCTGTGCATATTAAATCGATGTTAATAATGTTGAATGATATATTAAAATCTATAAATAATTAATTTTCATTGCGAAAAATATTATCTCAGCTAGGAGTCAAATCCGGATCTCTTGCTTTCCGTGCGAATGTCCTAAGACTTTAGACTACCGATTAAAAATACATTCAAAACTCTCAATATTTAATGAGTTTCCATGAAATGATACGCCAACTTCACACACGCACGCACGCACACACAAACGCGCACGTGCGAGCATTTATATATAATTTATTCAAAATATAAATATTAACACATTTGTAAAAATAAGTCCAATACATCCTTAAATAAATGTTAATAATATAATAATATATAAAACTTAAAAAAAAAATGTACACCAAGTGCATAAAAAAGATATCAAATATTACATTTTTCTTAATAAAAACAGATACGATATAAATGCAATTAGCCAAGTATAATATTTTATCACACAAGACACACGAGATAGATTGAAAATGACTAAAATGATCAGCTGGATTATTAGTGAAGAAAAACTCGGTGTGCCCAAAAAGGTTGCATTAAAACATAATATTTTATGACTAATATGTTTTCATAGTACAGAAATTACTTGCAATACTATTTAATAAAAAGGTTGTTACATACAATATCTTTACAGATAGATACATACAATAAAAGCAATAATTTAACAAGGGAGAGATGAATCTTTTGAATTCGTTATCTATAATGTTTCTATATCTAAATATTATCAATATTTTATTACATATCATTTCTCCATATAGGTAAATTTATATCACTGTCTATTATTTGTGAGTATGTGTCTATTATTTTTATATTTTCATGATGCAAATAATACATTGAGATAATATATTCACAGAAATATAGTTAATATGATCTGAATATGTCAAGTTAATTTCTTCAAGACTGAACTTAAGACGGTCTTGAATATAAGAACTGACTATGAATACTAGCCTTAATGCTGCAAATGCTTTTTTTTTTTTAGTATTCTTTGAGTAATCAATTAAAAATATTCTTTCTTTTTATTCATCAACCAAAACATTCACAGCGTTAGATAAATTATACCTCAGGTAATACACATATACTTTATTATTCATAAAACACCAAGAACTAAGGGGGTCCATATATTAACAATATGTAGAATATATAAAATTAACGGAACTAACACACAATAAATTTTTCAATCAACATCATGATTTGTTTCATTTATCACACCTTAAATTTAAATGTATGTTAATAATAATAAGTCTAGAAAATGATTTTTCCAAAGACGATCTACACTTGTGACTCTCCGATTATACCTTTTGTCTAATTTTACATAATATATTGAAATTTTTTCTTAAAGAGATCACAGAGGTTAGCTGTGACCTTTCGATAGGAGTAATGTAACATTGAAAGAATCAAGTGACAATTGGCAGTACACACAAGAATCAATAGCAATGTGTCTGTATGAGTACATGTGATGGAAGTACCAGACTTTCTTGGAAAGAAAACACACTATAGGTAGTCGATGTCGGTTTGATGATACATGTTTATCAATGCGATTGTTTCACAGAAATTAACGAGATTGTTGTCAATGTAATTATCGTCATGGTAATTGTTTGTCGCGGTGGTTATCGATACGGTGGTTGTCGATGCGATTTTTGTTAATGCGATCGTTATTACTCGGCCAGGCGAAAACCGGAAAGTCATCAGAATGTGTAACATTGACAAACATGTACTGTTACGTATGACTTTACGCGAAGTAATTCCGGTTCGGACTTACGCGAATAGTTAAGTAAATAACAATATACTTACGGATGACCAGGAAATAAGGTTGTTGGTTTGCGGATCCTCAACCATCGTCCAAAGCTTGGCAAGGAAGGCTGGTACATTTGTACCCAAGTCCGATCTTGTGTGCATCTTGCAGTCGTGTATTTAGTTAGCTCCGCGAAGAAATAACTCGTACATCTGCCGCTTAATCACGAGAACCTCGCACCTTCGCCACCAACATCACAATGACAATCGGACAATGGCTGATTCGCTGACGATGTTATTCTGCTGCACAGTGCACACTTTCACAGTGCGCACTTTCGCAGTGCGCAATTGGAGTGGGGAAACAGGTGAGAAGGGATACAAATGAACCTCGAATTCTCATTGGTCGCTGGACAGTTAGGCGTGTTCAGAAACTGTTCCTTAGTGGACCACGTATCATCAGTTTATCCCGGTTTATCCTTGTTTAATATTCAGAGACCGACAAAAATAATATTGTAAGATATAGTTACTAAATGCAGCCTTAAGTTTTTACTATTTTGTCATTCTGTTTCGTTATTTGATAAAGCGGGGAGCACAGACATAACTCTTGCACATGAAGGAAGATATAGGCTGCTTTCCAGCTACGACACAAGTAGACACTGTGTAACGCAGTGAATCATTGCATCCCTGTTGTTTGCCTACGTTAAACGAGGATGAAACGATTCTCTGTGTTACACAGTGTCTGATTCTGTCCTTGCTGGAAAGCACCCACAAGGAAACTCCACTCAGTCTCGCTACAAAACATGGACCAATGGTGGAAATGTAATATGCGCCTCTCCGAATGGGTCAGAAGTGATTGGTTGAATTGGTTTCAAGCAGCCTGAAGCAACCCCCCTCCATGTCGCCATATCTCACCTTATAGCGCTCGTGAAGTTAATAGAGCTGCACATAATGAGTGCGAGTAAGAGAAACGATCACTCATCCAGAATCGGAAACTGAAATGGGTCCACTTTTATTTTACGGAGTGGAGTCTCCTTATATCGTACTTCCTGCTCTTGTATTAAGTCTATTCTACAATGACCGTAAGTAATAAAAATTGATTAATCGTTAATGTAACGAGAGAATAATCGATTACGATTGGCCATTTGTAGAATAGGCTTAAAGAGCCTACAGAGCAGGAGGGTCTATTCTTGAAAAGAAACGTATACGAAAATACTATAGTCAGAGCTGGGTAAAATGCCTTTCGAATTCCATTTAAAATACCAAATATAAAATACTTTTGAAAAGAGTATTTAAAATACAAAATGTAAAATAGATTCTTTTAATCCATTTTAAATATAAAATAGGTAAATGGGAATTTTAAATGGTTTTCAAATGCAAAATGGTCTTACTTTTGGTATACATATTTTTAAGTATTTTATGTTGGAAATTACTTTGCATAATGCTGGAACATCCATTTTTTTTAATAAAAATCGATATTTATGGATTTGTAATTAATATCTATTTTATATTACAGTTTAATTCACAATTTATTGGGATAATTATAAAAAATTAAAGAAAATACAAGAAGAAGGAAGTCAATAACAGTCAAAGCTGGATCATAATGCTTATTATAATTATGTGTGAATTTCGTATACTGCGTATGTAGTCCCTCCATATAAATCGCGACGCTGACAGTTTTTCAGCATTGACGCGCGCATACATACTTACTACCGCAGTAATATCACGAACTTTAATTGATTAACAATTTTTGATGCTCATAGCATCATGGATCTTAATAGTTTTGAATGACATATTAAAATCTGAAAAGGTTAATTTTTAATTTTCGTATTTAAAATTCTGTAATTCTTATGTATTGCGAAAAATATTAATAATTTTGGTGTTTCGTCCAGGTTTCCACTATTGGACTCATCAGTAAGGTATTGTAGTGGAAACCTACCTTAGACGCCTGTGTAAATTATTAAATCGAGATTCTATATATAGAGATATACGCGTATCTCAGTATTTGCAAGAAATTTTTACGAATAGAGGCACTTCCGAAAATTCCATGCCAATGTGTTGTTTCTCCATATTTTTCGTTCAAATTTTCACAAAATATTCTTCAAACATTGTATTATTATCTAAAATAAAATTACCCAAATATACTGGAACTAACCATAGCTTCTAAAAAAAATTCGTGAATTTATACTTTTTTTCATCGAATTAACCTTACCACCCCCCCCCCCCCCCACTTAATTAAATACACATATCATGTATATGTTTACACATAATGCTGAAATTAAGATAATTCAAATAAATTGAAGATTACAAGGACTCTTATATAATAATAATTAATACGTTAAACAGGGCGAATAAGAGTCAAATTACAATTTAAAATCTAAATCTGATAATTTATTCTAATGTTATACATTGCGAAGAATATCACGTAATTTTCGAACAATTGTTCGGCACGCAATTTGGGGGAACTACACAGCGGTTCATAAGGGATCAGAGTGCACGGGAAGAGCCGCTAGCGTTTTGATGCTGCGTGAAATGGCACCTTAAGGAGATGCTGGAGTGCCTGTTTTATCATTACTTAGTTAAAGACTCGTTTCTCTTAATTGCATTTACGGATGGAAAAATCCTTCTGTATAATTAAAGTATCGACAACAATGAATTGCGCTAGCTACATTTCAATACGAAAAACGGAAGAAAATTAAAAACTTACAATTTCGTTATCGGCTTCTGTGATTTTCGATAACGAAACTGTAAATTTTTTTTCCGTTTTTTGTATTGAAATGTAGCTAGCGCAATTCATTGTTGTCGATACTTTAATTATACAGAAGGATTTTTCCATCCGTAAATGCAATTAAGAGAAACGAGTCTTTAACTAAGTAAATAATGATAAAACAGGCGGGTCCAGCATCACCTTAAGGATGTTCACCGGCTAATCGATTTCTATACAAAATGCTTCAAATTTAAACTACATGCTATTAATATCATTATCGATATATCCTCCAAATTTCAGAAAATTTAGCGGTACCTAATTCTAGTTATTAATTTTCAAAGTTGCAGCTTTTAAAACATGTAAGGTATAGTCCAAGCATACGTAAGGTATGCGCTCAAGTGACATTTCAATTCATAGCTACTGTGATATCTATATGATTGTTCTAAAAAAATAGGATATGATGCAGGACGATGCTAGAAATAACATAAAAAAGAAACGGGGATCCTTAGCGGTGCCGTTGTTGAGTTATCAAAGAAGGCTATCTTCGTTTTCAGGGATCAGAAGACAAAGATAGTCTCACCACCGTTGCTTTTGATTGCTATACCAGAGGTATGCCAAAAATCGCCTTAAATTGATCATTGTGTTTATTGGAATCTTACCAGCCATATTCTACGCAAAATATAAATTACACAATTTTAGTCACAGAGATGTATATATATCTAATAATCAAACATAATTAACATTTAAAAAATCTTATATTTAACAAAGAATACGTACGTATTTAAATAATATAATGCAATCACGCGCGCGCGTGTGTGCGTTGTAACTTTTTCAACTGTTCTCAACTATATTTCAGTTCCTCGTTCTTTTTGTTTCAATCTCGCTTTCTCAGAATATATGGCTATAAGCTTAGGTACACTTGCCGAACGATTGAACATACATATAATTAGTTATTACTTACAGATCCAACCAATCATATTTGAGCGCTCGGCAAGCGTGAGTAGCCGCATTGCCGTCTTGAACTCGCCCAATAATAAAGATTGTATACAGAACCTTATCATTTACTCATACCCGGTTTTGTCCCGGGACGAAACGCCAACTCGTGATATTCTTCGCAATCTTATTTTTCACAGATTTTAGATTCATCATTACTTTAAAATTTACATCGTTAAATTTTAATATATGTCTTTCAACATATTATTAAAGATCTAATAAGATGCTATATAAGCGTCAAATAATTGTTAGATTTGCTTTGTCAATTTAACTAAAAAGTGATATTACTGCGGTAGTTATTTAGAGTTGCGTTGGAAGTCTGAAAAAAGTTTCGGCACGCGAGAGGGTAAAACTACATACGCAGTACCTAATTTTAATAAGCATTTGTGATCCAGCTTCGACCGTTATTGGCTTTGACTGTTAGTTATTGCGGTTTTCTTCTTCTTGTTACTGAATTTTAACAATGTAAATATAAAGAAGGCAAAGAGCGGAGTAAATTAACGATTTATTTAATTCAAATAATCATACATAATACAAAATTAATTATTATTGAATTATTAACATTGCACCGAAATATTATATTAATTATGCTGTGTGTGTTTTCTTATATTTTCTAAAACCTCTCTCTCTTTTTTTTTATATAAAATTTATGAGTTCCATATCTTTACCTTTTGCAGGATTTTAGAAATCCTATACGCAGAGTCGGTTTAAGGTATTTATGGCCCAGGGGCTGATGTTAAAACGTGACCCTCTTCATTCATAAGAATTCTTTTATAATAGTATAGATAATAAATACCTATTTTCAATAGAAATTATTTATTGAATAATAGATATTGAATAACAATAAGTTAAATGCAAAATACATATATATTTTGCAATTTCTATTTAAGAAACGTGGTTGTTCGTATGACTTTTGTAGTTTGAGTCGTTTTAATTCTGCTTAAGAGATATAAGTAAGTTCTGGATGTTGAAGAATAAACACATAAAGATAATTCACATTTTATTAAAGTTGTAGCACCTACAACTTTTTTTTTCTTGATTAGTGCACGCAAATTCATTGATTAAATCATTAATTTCTACATCTGGACAAGCTAATTTATATTCCTCATATATTGTACTTTCTTTTATTGAATATTGTCTATACACGATGTTTCATTGTACGAGGAATGCAAAATTAATTGTAATATTTTTAATTATTTATTTGTATTTGATTATTTACTTTCATCAATAAATACAATTTTAAGCTAAGGGGCCCCCTAAAAAGACGAGACCCCCTGAAAAGACAAAGCCCGCTGAATAGACGGAGCCCGGGGCTGTAGCCCCTTTAGCCCCTCCACCCCTTAAGGCTTAAACCGACCCTGCCTATACGTACCTACTTTGTTTGTCGTAGAATTTTCCACTCTACGGGGTGCCTTTTCTTATTCTTCTTTTACAATGCTATGTAGTCAAACGAGCGGTCTTCAGCTTTCATC